ATTGGGTATTTGATCTCTTAAATTCATCAGAAGTACCTTGTCATCCCTCCCGAAACACACAACCTTTTTTTAAAAAAATTAATGTTTTATTTATTTTTGAGAGAGAGAGAGAGGAATATGAAGCAGGCTCCAGGCTCTGAGGTGTCAGCACAGAGCCTGATATGGGGCTCAAACTCAAGAACTGTGAGATCATTACCTGAGCTGAAGTCAGACACTCAACCAACTAAGCCACTCAGTCGCCCCAAATGCAGAACTTTTGATTATCTGTCTACAAATGTAACTGACCAACTTAAAATCTGTTCCTATTTATTTCAAAGCTGTTATGATGATTTTTGTCAGCATTTGATATTAGTTGCTGTGACTGGCCAACTAGAACACTTTCTTCTTGTTGGGCTCTTATTATTTCTATGAAAAGTGTCTGAATTCTCTATATCCTTTTAATATTGTTTTAGCATGGTTTTGAGAAGTGGAACTTAGTGTTGTCTAGCTCTTTGGGGCCAGTAAGTACATTATGTCTTCATAGGCCTGGCAGTCTTCACATCATCCTAGAGAAAAGACACCTTTGGCTGAATTTTTTCTGAGGCTCAAATCATCATCCTACAATCTAATGCAAAGCTCTCAATAATTTCTACCGTTAAAAAGCCCTTATCTTGAGAACACATATGTCTGTCTGCAACTGTCATGGGTCAGTCTCAGCTGCATTGCCACTTGGATGACACAAGGCAGGTACTTGTGTGGGGGCAGAAGTTAAGGGTTTCCCCAAACTCAGCAATCAATCACTAAAAACAATATTTTAATGCAGTATTAGAAAAATAAAAATTAATGCAAAACATCTTGATAAACAGGTCTATGATTTGATTGAGTGAGTTGCACACAGTCAGCTCCTGTCTGTATGGGAAATTTCTACTTCTTGGGGTGCTAGTCCTATCTGAACATTGGGGATTCCACCCTCAAGAGGGGCTTGTTTAAGGAAATTCAATGTGTGCTCACTGACAGGAAGCTCAGTGTGCACCGTGTGTGCCCTAGAGGGCAGCGGAAGGCCTGCCATGGCTTCTGTTTCAGTGTACAACTCTGCTCCTGTGTCTACACAGTTCTCTCTCTTTTTTTTAATGTTTTATTTATTTCTAGGAGGGAGAGAGAGAGAGAGACAGCGTGAGCAGGGGAGGGTCAGAGACAGAGGGAGTCGCAGACTGAAACAGGCTCCAGGCTCTGAGCTGGCAGTCAGCACAGAGCCCGACGTGGGGCTCGAACCCACGAACCGCGAGATCATGACCTAAGCGAAAGTCGTACGCTTAACCATCTAAGCCACCCAGGTGCCCCAGCACAGTTCTCTTGAGCTTCCTCCTGCCTTGTCCTCCAGCCCTCACTGCAAGTCCTTTGTGATAGATCATTCTCGATGCACATACATCTGGGGAAGTCCATTCTCAACCCGCATTTATTTATTTATTTATTTACAAATAGTTTATTGTCAAGTTGGTTTCCATATAACACCCAGTGCTCATCCCCACGAGTGCCCTCCTCCATGCCCATCCCCCCTCCCCCCCACATCCATCAGTCCTCAGTTTTTGTCAGCATTCAAGAGTCTCTCATGGTTTGCCTCTCTCCCTTTCCCCCACCATTTCCCCCCTTCTTCTCCCCCTTGCATTTAAATTGGCTGGGAGTGGAACGTTTCTTGTTCTTGGATGTAGAATACCAGAAATATCACCTAACTTGACTGTCAGAGAACGGTGTCCATAGATGCGTCGCCATACTGGCTTGTCTTAAGCACTAAACACAATCACTGTATTCTGCTTTTCTACAACACCAAGGTGAATACGGAAAAGAGTTTCTCCACATAAACTCACCTGTAAAGGTTTATCTTCTGCGGAACCTACTTGGTAAGTTCAAATTGGTGATGGAAACCAGAGATTGGAATGCCAATATACAGTGAAGGAAAACATTATTTAAACCTGCTGTAAGCACTACACTCTGGTCTGCCCCAAGTTGTCTTAGAAAAGGCAGCCTAAGTAATCACGGTGTTTTGGCTTTGCGGCCCAACCACGTCAGAACATCAATATCCTCTTTATAAACAGGGGCCCACATTTCATAACAGTATTTTTTATTTTATTTTTTTTGCAAATAGTTTATTGTCAAATTAGTTTCCACATAACACCCAGTGCTCATCCCCACGAGTGCCCTCCTCCATGCCCATCCCCCCTCCCCCCCACATCCATCAGTCCTCAGTTTTTGTCAGCATTCAAGAGTCTCTCATGGTTTGCCTCTCTCCCTTTCCCCCACCATTTCCACCCTTCTTCTCCCCCTTGTTCCTCCGTCAAGTTCCTCCTAATCCTCCTATACGTGCAAACATATGATATTTGTCCTTCTCTGCCTGACTTATTTCGCTCAGCATAACACCCTCAAGGTCCATCCATGTTGCTACACATGGCCAGATTTCATTGTTTCTCATTGCCATGTAGTATTCCATGGTATAGATAAACCACATCTTCTTGATCCATTCGTCCATTGATGGACACTTAGGCTCTTTCCATGTTTTAGCTATTGTGGAGAGTGCTGCTATGAACATTGGGGTACATGTGCTCCTATGCCTCAGCATTTCTGTATCCCTTGGGTAAATTCCTAGCAGTGCTATTGCTGGGTCATAGGGGAGTTCTATTGTTAGTTTCCTGAGGAACCTCCACACTCATAACAGTATTTTTTAAATGCATACTGGTAGGAAATTCAAAGCTGGATGATTTGTATTGCTGCTATGATTCACTTGTGCCGAAGAAGAAACATCATAGAAGACCCTGCATCATGGTTGCCTGCCAGAGTGGTACAGCTTCTGAGATCATGATTATTTACTTCCTCTCTTTTTTTTAACCTCTTATTGAATAACTATCTTTCCTCCACTTATATATAATCCAAGCAAGCTAGATACAAACAGGTATGTGTCTATTCAGGAGGGAAAACTAGATATAATAATTAAAAGCTACGTCTATGGTTAGTTAACACGTTACAGGCATTCCAGCTTTGGGTAGAAAATAGAAGGTGACCCTCCCTCAAATGGAGTTAACGTGAAACTGAATTACATTAATCATTTTGAGACGACTGGCTCCGAGGGATGTTCTATAAATGATTTGCTGTGTAGGCCATGCCATTTCCTCAGGCTTTCCACCGGAACATCAATCTACTGCAAAATGAAGCATGAGCTGTCATTGTGAACACTAACATATTTGTGAAAAACACAAAAGATGCATCTAGAGAGGACACTGAGAATGAGATTTTGCTTTTCTGCAAGGAAGAGAGGTGATATATCCGCTAGGCAATAACGACAATGAGCACAAAGTAATTTTGATTTATTGAATATGAGAGGAGCAGTGCCAGTTTCCTTAGGCAGATTACTTTTGATGATTCCAGCAACTTTAGGAAGTCAGTATTATTATTTCTCCTTGAAAAGTGGGCAGACTGGGACTCAGAAATATTACATGCCTCACCCAAAGTCACTTAGTTGGTGGGTGGTGTGAAAGCATCAGAAATCAGATCTGTCAGCCTCCAGCTCGCAGGGCTTTCTCCACGAACTCCTTCTCAGCTGTGCAAGTCTTTCCGCCACCAGAATTTCATACTTTTTGGTGAGACAACTACCAGACAGCATCCCAGGTTGGACAAAACCTCCAGATGAAGCACAGACCCACAAAGAAGTAGCTGTTTTTTTAAAACAACTTCTTTCTCTAAGTGCCTCAGTTTTGAAGAATGTGTGCCCTGAATGAATAAATCAGCACTCTCACTACTAAAAAGGAATAATCTATCCTCTCTATTAATATATAAGTATTCCAGTTTTTAGATGGTTTCCCATGTTACTGTGAACCTTTGATTGGCATCTTGGATGAACTACTAAATTCAAGTTTCTGAAGTGAGTGAAATGAAAGATCGCTCCGTTGGATTTTTCAACAGCCTTCTTACAGCCTTCTTACAAAGAGGTCTCTTCAAGAGCAGTGCCAAAGAAAGCCAGACTGCTACAAAGCTTCTCAATGCCTTTGCATATGCTGGCCCTCTGCCTCAAATGTGCTTTCTGCATTGTCTCCTGACAAATTTCCCCTCCTCCTTTAAAATCCAACTCAACTGGCTCTCAGTTCTTCTGTGAAATCACTCTGCAATTCCCTGAGTAAAGTCAATCTCTTGTTTATTTTAAACCAGTACATAATTTTGCACACATCACTCTTAGATTCACTCAGCACTCTATAGGAACTCCTTCTGTATAATTCTCTCTTCGCATCTAGCCTATGGGTTACCCAACTTTTTTGATGAAGTCAGAGTCACCTTATTCCCCCAGCATCTACGACAGTACTCAGTGTAAGAAAAAAATCCTCAATAAATATCGGTAGAAATGATACTTTAAAACCATGCAGTCTTATCTTCCTGTAGTCGTCAGGAAGATGTGAAGAGATGGGTACTTTTTTGAGGTCTACGTTCTTGAAGAGCTTACCTAAAATCACGGTTGTTGAACCAAGTTCACTCTAAGTTCACTAAACTTGATTTATTATAATTAATCTTCCTGTTATAGGTTTTCTTTTGCTTGCCCTCTCCATATTTAATATACCTTCTGAAATAATAGTGACAAAAATGGAGCCCCAGAGAGTCAAGGGACTTACCACAAATGACTTAGTTAAGTGGGAGAGGAAAGTGGAACTCTGAGTCTCTGAGCCCCTTTGTTACTCTGTGTAGTGGACCAAGGGCCTATGGAAAAGTAACAATAACTTTTTAAAGCTTGTTTATAGCTTTTTAACTTATTCAGAAGAAACATTTTTTAATAGTTGTGTGGGGCATCATACCATGGAAAAAGTTGCCACCAGGTTTGTGCCTTTCCAAACAAAGCCATTCACAAACTCAGTGTTGGCAATATTGATCCCAAGTTGGGATTGTGGTTTTCTTTTCTCAATTACCAAGCAATAAAATGCAAGCACGTGTTCATCCATACATACTGGCTGTCAATAAAAAAATAATAAAATGATATTTGCACTGACCATAGTCCGTGTTTTCCGGCTCCCAACAATTTGATGGCCAAAAATAGGGTGTCTATGGAATAAAAAGAAGTGGAACCCAGGTTAAGCACATACAAAATTAGTAGAGTTCTTGGTATATGAGCTATGTTCATCTTTAGCAACTATCCAGAATATTTTGCTAATCATGTATGTCATGCATGTTTTGTAAGCCAGGAAAAGTCCCCAAAGAGGCATTGTAAAGCTTTTCTTCTACAATTACTTTGCTAAGCAATTGTTCAGTCTAAATGTGTGCAGCACCTTTGGGTACTTTAAATGTACATTTGCTGCAATTTCACGTCAACTGACGTAACAGTAAAAGGCGTGCCTGCATCATTCAAAATAAGTGTTAATCCACAAAGACTGAAAGCAAAGGATTAAATTCAGTAAGACTCAAGAGAAAATGTGTTTAAATATAACAAATCATTTTTTGTGATTCATGAATCTTGTTACTGTCTTCAGCAGATCCAAAAGCTCAACTGTCAAGATTTACCCTAAGATCTGGCAAGCATTTGTCTGTTTTTGTCAATTATGTGATATAGCTCTCAACAGTATCCAATTAGATTTAAACAACTTTTTTCTCTCACTTTAAAAAATATTTCTTCATAGAGGTGCCTGGGTGGCTCAGTCGGGTAACTGTTCGACTCTTGGTTTCAGCTCAGGTCATGACCTCGTGGTCTGTGGGTTCGAGTCCCACATCGGGCTCCATGCTGACAGTACAGAGCCTGCTTGGGATTCTCTCTCTATTGCCCTCTCTCTCTCTGCCCCTCCCCTGCTCGTGCTTGCTCTCTCTCTGTCTCAAAATAAGTGACTAAATACATTTTTAAAAATGTATTTCTTCACAAAAACACTTACTGTTTTAAAATTTTAAACTGCACAAGTCAGAGGTGATTTTTTAAAAACGAATTTTACTTGATATTACGTGATTTAATTTTAATCATTTTAATTGATTGGTGTGATTAACAATCGATAGAAATCTCATTCTGTGAAATTCTAGAAACTAACAAAACTACAAAGAAACCATCTGATCAGGAAAACCCTGTTATCCTCGTCAGTTTGTATTTTCTAATAGAGCTTTCCTAGCCCCACTAGTTGGATGTGCGTGGCTCCAGACCATGGGTAAACTGAATGACTACGGTGTACTCTTTCAAACTTTGATGATGACTCCAGGACTCAATGGAACAGATGACTGCAGACATCAAACTTGTGGGTTTAATTATATTTATTAGTCAATTACATTAGCTATCCATGTGTCATGAGCATATCTGAGGTAATCTCTGATGAACCATTTGATAATTCTCCCTCCAGAAGATGGATTCTCAAGAAGGGGGAAGGGATAATTGGGGAGAATTGTTTGAATCTCTGAGGGAGAGCCTTTGCAAATTGCTCAAGACTTCCAGGGGATTTTGATTTAGGCTCTACTCCTTCTGGGAATTCTTGCAGCATAATAAAGAAGTCTACTGATGTTAGTTGTGTACACATGTAAACAAAATGACAACAAGAATTTGAGGTGGGGGGAGTTGAAACATAGAAGAAAGAAGACATCAAGGATTTTTATGGTCCCATCTTCACCTGAATCCTTCTTGACTCCTTAGGAGATAGAGCTTTAAGGGTAAAATTGGGTCAGGATCTAGGGAAACCATACAGGGACAAAGTAGTTGAAATTTTGCTTTTGTGAGGGCCACTAGTTTTTTTGAGATACTTCTCAAAAGTGTTATTTCTTGAGGGTTGCTTCTCTATTTTGAGGTGTGTGTGTGTGTGTGTGTGTGTGTCCATGTACCTTACTTTTAAAATAGCTATTCTAATCACATTTGTCAGACACGTATTTTTTTCTCAAAGCCATAAGAAATGGTCTTAACTGCATTCTTACCATTTTCCTTTATTCTTCTATCATTTACTTTTGTGAGAATTTCCTGACTAAAAATTAAGAGTGAAGTTCTTTTATGTTGTGATAGTATATGGAAATGTCATCACACCAACATTCTTCACTAATATTGCAAGACATTTTTCTAGCAAATGTGTTTTAATTTATAGCAAAAAAATAATTTAAAGAAAAACAAATGCTTATAATTCACTGAAATGTAAAAATCTACTTTTAAAGTTCAACTAGACTTCAGGACATTTTAATATACATGAGTTTCTCTTGGCTTTTCAGAGTTGGCTTCTTTTAACTATGATAAAATTGATCCAGCTGTTGCTCAATAATCTTTAGCACATATACGAATGTCAGGAAAGTCATGAAAGGGACCCAGGGAATCATGACAGATCTCAATTCCAGCTAGCTAATGAGGATAATAAGACAATTGCAAGTTTACAATAAATATGGAAATCACATGATTTAAATTGTTCTGACAACTTGAGACAGATTTACAAACTGAGCATATCAATGAAATTAAATGAAGAGTTCTGTTTGTCTCAGGTTCATGCCCCGAAGCTTCTTTGGATTCCTAATGATGGTTAAAATCTCAGTGATTCACTGGCAGAGTAGTAAACGTGATATGGCAAGTTTCCTATTTTAATTCATGATTTTTAAAATCCTCACAGGGAGCTCGATTTCAGCTCAGGGTAATCAAGAACTTTCAGCTGCTGGAACCAACATCAAAATGGAAGTGGACACCTTGAACAAGAACGTGTTTTCTCTTAAGAAAGCTGTTCAAACAAAAACCTATTAATGCCTTCACAGACATTACAGTAGTAATTCAATTACCCCTGACTTTTCTGGAGCTGCTTTTGTTTGCTTTTTAAATCTCGGTTTTAAGATCCTATGACTATTAGATATACAAATATGTCATATTTAGATTCTATTTCAAATGTGAACAGGCCATTAAAATATTTAACAGTTAATATCTAATAGTAATTAATGTATTTTAAAAGACTATCATCTGTCATCTATGCAGGCACATTGAAAACTTGCTAGCCTTCTGCCAATACCTAGCAGCTACGTAATACATCTACCACCCATTCCCTTGCCTTGTTGCTCGCTCCAGAATGTAGGGCCACCCATTCCCAGCTCTGCTCACCTTTGACTCCTGGCCGTGACTAAGACACGTAAACCTTGTCTGCCTACTAAGTTCAATGTGGGGAGGATAAAAGCATGGTTAAAGGTTGTAAATCAAGTTAACTCACAACATCGTCCCCAACTTGGGGCCATGTCTGAGCTCGTTTGCTTTAAGGAAAAAGTTTAAATTAGACAATTCTCCAGAAATAAATAGACTATATACAACGCTTCCCTCATAGATATGTTATTTTGCACAGAGATAATTTTACTTGTAATATTACTGTGAAGATAGATAAAAGTTGTTATTTTTGTAAAAAGAAAAATCAGAATTTGTGAGGTTTTTATTAGGTCTAAAGTTTACATATAGTCTCCATGCGAAATTTTAAAAAAATTTAATGTTTATTTTATTTTTGAGATAGAGCACTAGAGGGTGGGGGAGGGGCAGAGAGAGATTGAGAGAGAGAGAGAGAGAGAGAGAGAGACAGAATCTGAAGCAGGGTCTAGGCACTGAGGTGTCAGCACCGAGCCCGACATGGGGCTTGAACCCATAAACAGTGAGATCGTGACCTGAGTTGAAGTTGGATGCCCAACTGACTGAGCACCCCTATTTGACAAAAAATTTTAAAGAAAGTAAGATTATATGGAAAATGCAATCCTACAGTAGAAAAGTAAGTCCTTTAAAAAAATAAAAAAGTGTTAGTAAGAAGCAAATAATTTATTTGCTAATAAGTTATAATTTCTATTTATTAAAATGTTACCTTTAGGACCACAAGGTACTTTAACTTATCAATAAAGTATTTTTAAGCTACCACCACATTAACTATAAAAAAGATGACATTCCTTTATTTTAAAGCCTTTTAAAATTATATAATTTAACTAATATATGTTGCTTGAATATTTAGGTCAGTATCATGATTTCGGGAGACTACTTTACCTCCTAGCTGTTCAGTGCATGAAGTCCTACAACTATTTGCCTCGTCTAAAAGGATCCTAAGGACGTGACGGTGAAGGTTTTCCAGGAAGACAAAGGTCTTTAAATGTTTTTAAAACATATTAACCTCTTTGTTCTCTCTTTGCCCAAGCAAGTTCTTTGGCCTTCAAGTTATTGTTTTGTCATTTATTTAGATATAGAACATCTAACGATATTCAGAACAAATGAGAGAGAATGCTTCGATGTCTACAAATTTGACAATGGGGAGAATCCTCCAAAAATACCTAGAGCAAGAGTCTCACATGATATGTGCCCTGATTTTATGGGCTAGAATCCACCAGGGAGTTATTAAGGAATCATAATGTCTAATAACATGTAGAATACACTTCGGTAAATCATTGTGAAGTCAAGTGTCGACTGCATGCTCAAGGATCAAAATTAGAGTCCACAATCATTTTTGAAAGAATAATGGCATCTGTCTCATGTGAAAATGATTTAGAAAAATTCTTGTCAGTTTATGGGTTATCTAAGGTATACTTCTGTTGCAGATCAGCATCGTGCTGATCAGGCTTCACAGTCTTCTTGTAGGAAGGCCTCAGATACTGACATGCAGAAGCCTTTATATTCGCTACATTCTGTGTGGGAGCTTTCCCATGAGAATTTGCTTTGACTGAAGACAGTATTATATTATGGACAGGGGCCAGGGTATAATCAATTCAGTTAGTTTCATCTCTCTGCTTCCTTCCCGGTGGCTAAGGCAACTTACACATGAAGCACTCTCCCACCTCCTGAATTCCAATAAGCCACTCTCTGAATTTTTCTTAACCTTTTATATAAAACATATCTTCAATCATTATATGTTTTAGCTTTCACAAATAGTTTTGTGGAACCAAGCACATTCCAACTTTCTCTGCTTACTGTTTTTCAGTCTTAAATTTAATATTAATGAGTTTCTATCTAGCCTAAGTCAAAGAAAAGTTCTATTTTCAAAAATTTTTTTATAAAAACAATCAGGAAACAAAATGCAGATTTCTATTTTACAGGTAAGGAATATTTTCATTAAACTCACCTGAAACCGGTAAAAGGTGCCATCGTCTTTGAGGGTGAGGACATGATCCGAGATCGGAAAGAAGTAGCCATGGGCAGCCATTAATGTTCCCAAATGTAGCGCCTCCACTATTTCATGAAAACAAACAAATAAAAATGTAGGTAAAATCTTTTTTTCAAATGTTGATTTACAGGAGTAAACAGTTTTGTTCCCTTTAGAGTATATTCTTGCATTCAAACTCTTGGCATCCTAAGCGACTTGGCTTTTTTTTTTTTTTCTTCTTTTTTTCCAATTCTTCCACACAGGGTACTGAGGTGGCTCCGGTTCCTGGTAGTGACTGTGCAACGGCCAGCAGCACCGCGTGACGACCAGCACACGAGAACACAGCATTATGGAATGTTGAGACTGGAAGGTAATTCTGAAATCACAGAATCTGACTCCTTCATTTTATAGATGAGACGTACTTTGCTATATGTTAATATTCTCCCACAAACAATTCTATTTGGCATTTATATAGCACTTTAAGCTTTTAAAGGTATCCTCACTTGTCTCACCCCCCAGCCTATATAATGGATATCTGATACTATCAGGAATTCTTCTAATGACACGGATCACGATTACATGGTGTCATCAGGGAACACTGAGGCATCTAGAACCATTTATGCTGTGTTAAGTGAGTGCTAAGCAACCATCTATGGTACTACTATAGTCCTGCGATCATTGGACTGCTCTAGCTTCCACAGCTGTTCAGATACAGTGTTCTAGCAACAAACTATGAAGATGTTTATTTGACAATGAAAATATTACATTTTCTGAGAAGGCTAAGAAACGGCTGGAACATAATACTTTGATACTCACTCTCTTTTTATAGCAGCCAAAAATTTCTTCCAATAAAATGGTGAATAAAATTTGGTCAGCAGAATCATTACTGCATTTGTACAGGACAACATAAAGTTTGGCTAACTTAAAGTCTAGAAGATATGGAACTATGTAAAATAATGTTTTAGTCCAGCAACAAGTTAGATTTATTGATCTGTTCTGTAGCTTTCTATACAATTTAGTTATGGATTTATTTATGTGTGTGTGTGTGTTTTTTTTTTTTTTAGACAAGTAAATGGTTCTTTAGAATTCTTATAGTAGTTCCGGACTGTGTGTATCTATCTATATTTCTAGCCATCAATCCTGGGGAGCTTTGATTCTCCAGCCAATATTGAGTCAGTAAGCTGCTTGCTGCAGTGCAGATAAGCATAAGAAACCTGTCCCTCCCCTCCACCCTCACATGTCTATGGGAGAATTGCTGAATTTTATCTGTCGTAGTGCCCATTTTGATTGTCATCTATCATCTTGTAAACACTTCTATTGGTAACTTGCCCTTCCGGCCTGTTTCTGTGTTGTTCTTGCCTATAATAAAGAAGAACTGCCAATCATCTTCTTTGCCATGTCCTTGGAAGACTGTTGTTAAGTGTCCCAGCCATCTTATTCACACTCTCAATTAAGTCCCTCCTTGCATACCATTGTTTTTTCTACAAAGAAGCAATCTTCCATCAATTAGATGTGTGTGTGTGTGTGTGTGTGTGTGTGTGTGGGTGGGTGGGTGTATCATGTCTATATCCTTATAGCTCAAAGTCGAGACCTTCTCAAAGCCTGTGCTGCTTACAGCTATATACCCACATGTTCTTTGACTCCTGCTGAAACTCAGGAGCTAGTGTGGTGTTGTAGGAAGAACAAAACCTTTGGAGGCACTCACTAATTTTTGTTACCTAAACACCGTGTGCTTCTCCCACCTTACAGGGTTGTTGAGAGAATCAAACAAGAATATATGTGAAGAAGTTGGAATAATGTCCTGTGTATAGGAGGCATTCAATAGATGTGCTGTACCTTCATTATTTACACATGAATTCATGCTACTTTAATCCAAATCACTGCCAGGAAATCCACTTGCATAAATTTGCCATCAACAAGGCTGAGTGAGAGAAACTGGCAGTCATAAATAGCTTCCTAAATAGCCACCTACATATTATTTGTGTGTGTGTATGTGTGTGGATCATTTATAAAGTTGAAATAGTAAGCGGATCTATAAGGATTGCTGGCTCATAACAATGAGCAGGTGCTTACAGCCTTGTTCATATTCTGAGTCCCTGGACTCACCTACCAGGAGGCAGCAGTCAGAGCAACACATTACATCTGTTTTCAGATTTCAAAGTCAGATGGAGCACCTATCCTGTTATAACCATCTTTATTCGTTCTATTCACAGCGGCCTGTGGCTGAGGAAAATATTTGCGCTACTTTCCAGAAAAAGAATTGAGTTATGGCACATGAGAAAGTTTGCAGGGAATAGATTCAGGAAAGGAACACTGAGATGCCTAGAAAGATAAATAGTGAAAGGCTTCTGAACTCTAATCAGAGGAATGAGGTGACTGAAATAAAGAAAAAAAATCAGTGGGGTGCTGAAGTACTCATCGGGATTAGAGAAAATATGGTGAAAGTAAATATAGTGAAGCTGCAGGAAAAAAATCAGAAGCAAATGAACGTAAGCACATTCTGACCTGTCTGCATCCACTAGATACTGATTCTGAGATACCATGCATTTCTAGAGGGTAGGTCATATCTGCAGGTTTTCCTCATGTAGCACTACCATGCATGGTCAGGTCGTACGAAGTCATGTGCTTTGTCACAGGACCACCAGGGACATGGCTCCAGAATCAGAAAAGCGCTCAGAGGAAAAGTCAGGGAGTTGGGGAGGATTGTCTGCTTCCTTTCGGACTTTAAACTTGGCACTTCGCATATCAAGAGGAAAAAGAGCTATTGAGCCAATATTTGCTGAATGAGTTAATAAGTAAATTTATGAATCCATGACACATCAAAAATATGAACAATGTAGTGCTGCATGAAAAAAAGACAACACGAGCGATTTTGTGTTGTGATGATGAGCACCTTGTTCAGCTCTTCCAAGATAATGCAGATATTCGTGGTCGCATTTTAAGATGCTTTTATAAGCTTTTGAGGTGGGGCTGTGGTAGGTATTTTAATTACGGGAAAAGGTAATCGCGAGATTAATGGCATAAACACCACTAAGAGATCTGAGTGGGCAGGGTGTAGTGTTCTCAAGGCTGAAGTGTTTACTGCTTGTGATAAAGATGGAGCTGCACTCCCCCCCGGTCCCTCTGCTTCTGAATGTCGGCACAGCCTTAACCTAATAAGAATCCAGAGGACTGCTGACAGTCTGGGAACAAAGTGTTGGAAGAGTTTAATGAGTAATCCATCAAGATGGCCCTCCCAATAATGACACACCAGATGGCTCCACAACATTACGCTCCTAGGCAAAATAATCACTCATTAATCTCGTACTTGTGTTATTCATGCCACCCGCACAGCTAAATAAAGTTCAACAACAAACCTGCCATAAAATTCCAGTTTTTCTTTTGGAGAGTCAAGCCATGAACACACTGGGAAATAAAAACCCGTCTCCAAGCCACTGTTACCATGTGAACAGCCTCACGTAGCTTTGTTAAGCCTGATCTATTCACCACATTACTACATCCCAAACCCTGAAACAACAGAATTATCAAAATCCTTTAAAAGCAAAGAGAATTCTGCATAACGTACCTTACTTTTGAATCACAAGTACTTGAGAAAAGCATATTATAAAATAGGCGTGTGCTGTTCAGTGCTAGATTCCTGTACATAGAAATATACATAAATTTCTATACTCTGTTCTATACTTACAGCTTATTTTCAAAACTCACTAATATCTTCCTTGACCAGATGCCCAAACCCTGGCAGGCCCAGCTCCTCCCAAATGTAGTCCATAATTGTGAAATGATTGAAAAATTCCTCTGAACCAAGAAAATAATAATAAAACGATCTTGCTAAATTATGTTTTTATTTCTATCATGCATTATTTACTTTTATTTAATGTGTATTATTAAAAATGTGATTGTTTCATCATAAGCACACAGCATACTTGATGTAGTAAGTAGGATTAGTGTGTGGGGAGAAATATTTTAGAAGGAAATCCACTCAAAACAGAAAAAAATGACAGCCAATGATACGATATTAGGGAGAGAAAAAGCTAAGAAGCAGACAGGGGTAAGTTACTAAATTGTAAAACAGCAGACATTTGTCAAGCTGATTCTGAGTCATAAATATTTTGTTGAACTTCTTATCTCTGTTTAAGGAGACACGGACATGGCCATTTTAGAAACCCTTCAAAATATAATTTTTTTTAGAGCTGGCATTTGAAAAGGTGAGATTAGTCATGTGGAAAAATCAAACATGCAGCACATTTTATCCTCTCACAAGGTCAAATAAAAGTAAACTATTACTATATTTAGGAATGTCTTAGATATGTCCACATTCTCAATAGTTCTAGAGTTAATCAAAGAAGTAGGTATTTGGGCTTTCATCTATTTTTTTAATGTTTTGTTTATTTCTGAGAGAGAGAGAGAGGCAGCATGAGCAGGGGAGGTCAGAGAGAGAGGGAGACACAGAATCCGAAGCAGGCTCCAGGCTCTGAGCTGTCAGCACAGAGCCCGTCGCGGGGCTCGAACCCACGAACCGTGAGATCATGACCTGACCCGAAGCCGGACGCTTAACCAACTGAGCCACCCAGGCATCCCCTCCCCTGTATTTTTTTTTTTTAAAGCATCATTTCCACACAGAAATATCAAGTGCTGCTTGCTTTCAACAATCATAATCAGGGCATAGAAGTGAATAATATGGTGATGATATAGAAAGGATAAAATAAAAATAGATTCTATTTGGGAGAAATAAAAACAGAGGCATAGTTTAGATCAACTGTGAGGAACACACTAGGTAATGAAGACAAGTAAATAATATTCCCAAACAAAGGAGCGGAGTACAGAGCTGAAGTAGCCAAGTTGTGCACCCAAATAATGACTCCCTCCCTTGCTGATTGTGTGACTTGGTGACAACAGACTTGCGTTTTCTGGGCCTCAGTGTACTCATCTGTAAAATGAGGATAATAAAATATTCATATCAAAGTTTTGTTGAGAAGATAAGCAGAGGTAATATGTGCAATGCACTTCACATAAGGTCTGCCACATAAAAGTGTTATAAAACTTGAGTTATTGTCAGTGAGTTGATACTTAAGAAAGGACACACGCA